TACTGAGAAAATCGTCAAAATCTATGCTGTATAAGCTTTATCTCCTATACCACTGATTGTTCAGATACCAGTTTTTGCGATATATCTCCTTTATGTAGGAAACTAAACCCAATAAATTGTGTTACCGGTTTACATACCGATCACATAGCAGTGAAAATCACTTAGATTGGTGCCATATAAAGTATATCTTCCATACCTCTGATTGTTTAGATGCGATTTTTTATATAAGTATGTAACTCCTCTATCGATGTATGCAGATGTATTCAAAAGCAGTAATCTGTCAAAGTAAAATTTGCAGATGTTCATGAAAGGTATGAAGCCTTCGGCATAGCCGAAGACAGCGCTGCTCTTACTTGTTTTTTTTAAATTTCTCTTCAGTTGTATAAATAAAATCTAAATCTATAAATATATCTATATACAATCGTACTCAGACAACTTACATATCAAATTAAAGTACTCGATATGAAACTTTGCACAAACATTTCAGATTTAAAAACCATTCGATTTATGTACATACATACATATTTGCACGGAAAGATTTTTACAATTTTACACTGAGCAATTTTAAAATGTAAAACTGAACCTCACACAGGCATTCTAATTTTCAATTTCCAACAACAACAATTTTGAACAATTCGTTTCTTTATTTTTAATTCTGTACAATTTTAAAATGCTGGAAAACTTAAAAAAACTCCTGGCGGACGAACTGAGGGATCGGTAAAGTATTTTCCACTCTCGATAAATATGCGTTTCAGAGAATCTGATTCTTTTAGTATTATTTTGTGGGTTAGCGAAGGGCGAGAACTCTCGCCTGTCTCAAAAATTAAGATAAGTGCCACAAGAGATTATTTTACGAGTCGATTAGGTATTTAAACCTCAGCCTGGTGTAATTAATCAAAACTACTTGAAGGATCGATCAATTTCGTGTCCTAAGAATAAGCACTGTCGGTAATTAATAAAGAAATAGTTAATATGTCGTTCGGAGAAGAAAATTTTTACTATGGCGTCGATATCTACTGCCGTTTCTTAATATCCACAGGAGCAAGTGGAGTCGGGAGTAACACACCTTATGACTTGATACTAAAAGTTAGAGCAGTTGTGATTTTAATCCCCGACCTAAATATGTTTTTATGTATATATGAAGGGTTAGTTAATGGTCTCGCCTAATAGTTAAAGAACTACAATATAAAGGTTTGGATGCCGCAAATCAATAAAGAAATATCCAGAAATTTAGACCACGAGCACCCTGATTTTCAGGGATTATTACTAGTTACAATTACTCTGAGATGTAGTTACAGATTTCAAAGTTGATTTAATGAATATGAGAGTCTTTAAATTATTTTTAAAAATGGATATTGCGAGAACTTCGCAACATTTTTTAAAAAATTTCAACGGTTTGACTGAAAACACGGAAGTTTTAATTCAAAAAATCTATCTTTATTCGCTTTATGAATTTCTGTTTGAAATAGAAAATTTGCAAAATCTAAAAACGTGAATATATACTTTATAGTAATTTTTTTAGCCCATTTCCAAATTCACCATGAATTCTTCGCCACTTTAAAAGTTATGCTATTTTTATTGATGACAATCACTAGTTGTTGTTGTTGTTGTTGTTGTAACGGCTACAACAACCCCGCCCAGGAGGGTTGGTATCTCAGTCGTTGTCATCAAGTTCCACTAACGGCAGCCCCAGGAAGCGTGTAGCTTCTGTGGGGTTGGTCCACTAGGACAAGGCCGTTAGGGTTGTCGGGTTTTTCGGCCATGCGAAGAGATGTTTCAAGTCATGTGGGGTCTCTCCGCATGCCGGACACTTATTTGGCACATTTTCATTCAATCTTCTCAGGTAGGAGTTTAACCTGCTGCAGTAGCCGGAGCGAAGTTGTGCTAGTATCGTTCTTGTCTCCCGAGGCAGATGAAGCTCCGTCACGTCTCTGTCCGGGGGTGGTATGCCTAGAACGGCATTCACAGATCTAGAGTCTGCATAACTCGAGACTGACTCCCTGTGAATGCCGTTCAGGACCAGTCGGTTAGCTGTCGGGTCCAGAGGTTGCTTGATGAACCTCTGGACTTCGTCCGTCAGTTCATATAGATGCCTCCTGACGTTCCTAGGCGAGGGCTCCTCTGCAAGCAGCTGTCTGTTTGGGTGGCCACTTCTGTGGCTCCCGATCAGGAACTGCTTGCAGAGCATTATGTTGTGCTCCTTTACGGGGAGCATTTGCGCCTCGCCGTTTAGATGGTGTTCGGGCGACATCAGGAAGCATCCTGTCGCTGTCCTAAGTGCGGTGTTCTGTGCAGTCTGTAGCTTCGTCCACTGCGTCCTACTAGTCCCCGGCGACCACACTGGCGCTGCGTAGTTCAAAACCGGCCGGCCTATTGCCTTGTATGTTGCCAGCAACGTTTCTTTGTCTTTGCCCCAAGTACTGCCGGCTAGCGACTTGAGGACTTTGTTGCGGCTCTGTACTTTATTGACAGTAGCGGTTGCGTGCGCAGAGAAGGAGAGCAGGCTGTCGAATGTTACTCCGAGTATTTTGGGGTTATTCACCGTCGGAATCGGTGTGTCATCGACGTGAATTCCCAGCGGTAGCCTGACCTCCTTCGTCCAGGTTGTGAACAGGGTCGCAGAGGATTTCGTAGGGGAGAGGGCTAGACACTTTGCAGTGAAGAAGCGAGAAAGTTCGGAGAGATACCCGTTTACTTTCGAACACAGGTCATCAATTCCATTCCCAGTCGCCATGATCGAGCAATCGTCGGCATAAGAGACAATCGAGACTCCCTCTGGTGGTTGAGGGAGCTTTGAAATGTAAAAGTTAAACAGTACCGGGGAAAGGACACCACCCTGTGGAACCCCCTGTTTTATTTTCCTCTGTTTACTCGTTTTGTCTCTAAACATTACCGACGAGTGTCGACCACTCAGATAATTTGCCGACCACCGTTTGAGCCTCTGTGGGAGAGAGGAGGCCTCTATATCTTCTAGTAGCGTGGAATGGCAGACGGTGTCAAACGCCTTTGACAAGTCCAACGCTACTAGAATCGTTCTCTCACAGGGACATTTACAGTTAAGGCCACGAGTTATCTGAGTGTTTATGGCGTTAAGTGCTGTTGTTGTACTGTGCACTTTACGGAAACCATGCTGATGCTTCGCTGGGGTCAAGTGGTTTGTGAAGTACGGGAGTAGCAAGGCCTCGAGTGTCTTCTATACCGGGGAAAGGAGTGTTATCGGACGATAAGAATCTCCTTTGTTGGCAGGTTTCCCCGGTTTGAGCAGTGGGATCACTCTCCCCACCTTCCAGATGTCTGGGATGATGAGAGTGGCCATAGACAAGTTGAGGACCTCCGTTAGGTACGCTACCCCCGCAGGACCCAAATTTTTCAGCATCAGCATGCATATTCCGTCGTGAGCCATGGCTTTGGAGGCTTTCGCCTTCCCGATGGCCACCGGAACTTCACCGCAAGTGAAAGCAAGGGGGGGCACAGGTTGTTGGTAGTTTGTGCAGCCTTCTGGTCACTCGACGCTTGGCTAAAATAGCTCGCGCATCGCTCCGGGTCCGACGAAGCATGGTCGCCGAAGGAAATTTCGACTCTGTCGTCGTGCTTCGTCGGATTGGAGAGCGACCTCACGGTTGACCAAAGCTTGCTCACACCAGAGGTGAAGTTACAGGTCTTCAGATGCTCCTCCCACTTCTTCCGCTTATGTACGTTTACTAGTTACCGAATCTCCGCGTTGAGATGCCTGATACGGGGATCTCCGGGATCGGCCTGACGAAGGCTATCACGCTCTAGAACAGCCGCTTCGGCAGGGAAGTTTGGACGTGACAGCCCTGCGGAACTTACGTTCACCGAGATGGACGTCGGTTGGTGTGGGGAGCGCTGTGAAGGTGTTTTCGGTAAACTCCGCGTAACCTTTCCAATCGGCTTTAGAAAAGTTGATATAGGTCCGGTGTTTGGCGGAGGCAAAGTCGGTTGGTTTATCTATCGAGATGACTATGGGTAGGTGGTCTGATGCTAAAGTCAGCATAGGTCGCCATGTTATGCTGTTTATCAGACCAGCGCTGAGTATGGTGATGTCTGGCGAGCTACTGCAGTTACCCATAATCCTGGTGGGTGCGTCGTCGTTCATTGTGCAGAATGTCGAATCGTCTATCTGCTCAGCCAAGTCTGTTCCCCTACGATCGTTTGACAGGCTTGAGTGCCAAAGATCGTGGTGCGCATTAAAGTCACCTACTACCATACGGTTTTCACCTCTGAGGAGCGCACCTATATCAGGGTGATATCCTGCCGGGCAGCAGGTGACAGGGAATATGTATATGTTAAATATTTCGAGCTCAACTCGCCTGACCGGATAGCGATGCCCTATTATAGGGTGGTATCCCTGCGGTCGATGTCTGCTTCGATAAGAAGATACTGCACGGTGTGGTGCGTGATGAACGCTAAGCTACCACCATTATCTCGCTCGCGATCTCGACGGTGAACGTTGTACCCTGTGCAACTTCGTCTCTTGGACCGCAGCTATCAATATACCATGCCGACACATGAAGACGGTTATCTCCTCAATCTTGCTCTGTAGCCCGTTGCAGTTAAATTGAAGGAGCTTCATGTGGCTCGGGAGACGTATCGTTATGTGGGGTGTAAGGGATGTGTGTATTCTTACCGCCGTTGGCTGTGTGCGCTGCTGTGATGGTTGCCGCCCTGTCGTGGTGGCGGGAGGCGTCGCAGTTGAGGTCTGCGACCGAGCAGCGCAACACGGGCCCTCGAAGTTCCCAGTCCAATCTCGCGTGGTACGCAGACCTGAGCATGCCCTAAACTGGCACCAGCCAAAGCAGGTGTTGCACTTCACTGATGTCACATTACGGAATATCCTGGTCTGACATACCGTGCAGATTGTAGGGGGAACTAGGAGTTGTTGGCGGCGGCGTGTGGGTGGTGGTGCGGTTGTGTGTGTTATGTAGTCTGTCGTGGCTATGGTATGGTCTGTTTTTTTTTTTTTTTTTTTTGTTACGGACGTTGGGATAGCGCACTATCCATCAAGTGGCCCGTATGAAACTCCGATGAAGCCACCTCCCCGGGACTGCTTTCGCATTTCATCAGAGAGGGGCCATGGCATACAGAATGCCTCACTCCATAACGCCATTTCCGTATTCCCCCATCCACATTTGTGATAAGGGGTTCAGGAGCGTTTTGTCGTCTGTGCTTCGTGAAGAGATTCCCTGTGGAGTAAAAAACAAGAGTGAAACACAATTAATACCAATTACTTCATTTATTTTACTGACTAAAGCCTCTCTCTATCCGGCGGCGTTGTTCCCTTGCTCTAAGCTCAGTCATTATTTCTTTACTGACAGATTTCACTCCGTCCCAGACCTTAATGTCATTTATCATGTATGATAGCAAGTTTTCAGGATTCGGACTAGTCAGAATCAAATCTTTTAATTTGTTTCTTTTAACGGAAAAAGAAGGGCATGCAAAGAATATATGCTCTGCAGTTTCCGGTACATTTCCACATGAACCACACGCCATTGTGTCATCATGACCATACTTGCACAAATACTTTCTGAAACAGCCATGCCCACTCAACAGTTGGGTCATATAAAAATCTACTTCGCCATGTGATCTGCTCAGCCAGGCTTCGATACTCGGGTTGAGTCTGAAGGTCCAGCGACCTGACGAAGACGCTTCCCACCGTTGTTGCCATTGGGTGAGGCTTTTTTGGCGTTCGGCCGCGATCTCATGCTTAGAGAGGGCTCTGCCTTTGGATCGGGAGGTCAAGTAGGTGCGCTGGATCTCGCTAGCCATTAGATCAACAGGCATTATGCCAGCAATCACACTGGCGGCATCATGCGAAACTGTCCGGAAAGCACTACATATACGTAGGGAACTAAGCCGGAAAATCGAGCTTAACTTATTAGCGTACGATTTATGTTTGAGTGCATGTCCCCAAACAGGGGCCGCATACATAACAACCGATTGTGTTACTTTACTCAAAAGTTTCCTTCGATTCTGACTAGGACCTCCTACATTTGCTATTAACCTAGCTAACGAACTGTGGACTGTAGCCGCTTTCTTACTAACCGTTTCAATGTGTATTTTGTATGACAACCTAGCGTCTATCATCACACCTAGGTATCTTACTGCTGGGATCGTCTCAAATACATACCCATTTACATTCAAAGTCGTACTTTCTTTCTTCTTCCTGCTTGTTATAAGTACACCTTCAGTTTTCTGGATAGCTAGCTGCAAGCCATTATCCTTAAGCCATTCGTCGACCAAGCTAGCAGTATTTGAGGTGGCCAACTGTACGCCCTTAATATCTTTCGCTACGACAACTAGCGCAATATCATCAGCATAGACAATTATTTTAACACCTTTTGGAATAGGGAGGCGTAAGACTTCATCGTAAGCAATGATCCAAAGCAACGGACCGAGGACGGAACCTTGAGGAACACCTCTGGTAACGACATAATCCTACTTATTACGTTTATCAAATATCCCGGGGTGCTGATCGCTTTCAGCGCACTAATAATATGCGGTCAGCCTAGTGAGTTGAACGCATTCTTAACATCTAGGGTTACTACCGCGCAGTATTCTTTTGAGCCGTTTTTCCAGCGTTTACCTTTTATTGCTTCTTCGGCTATGTCAGTGACTCCATACTGTGCATCAGACAAGAAATGCGTAGAATCAATATGCTCCCATAGACGGTCACAGATGATACGCTCCAACAACTTACCTAAAGCATCAATCATGCACAGGGGTCTATAAGAGCCAGGTTCCCCCATTTGTTTGCCAATCTTTGGGAGTAGGACCAGCCTCTGCCTTTTCCATCTATTCGGAAATATACCGTCTTGAAGGCATCTATTAAAAACTTCTGAAAATGCTGATGGGATTGTATCCACTGCCGCTTTAATGGCAATATTTGGGATACCATCAGGACCGGGAGCCTTGTTGTTTTTAAATCGTTTGGCCGCACTTTCAATTTCCTCCTTCTTTACAGGAGGAAAACAGGCCATAGCATCTATTGACGCTGGCAATGGTTGGTGATCCGTCCGCGGAAAAAGAGTCTCTACTACTTCTTTAAGCAACATCGGGCATGTTGGCATCTGCATTTGACTAGCTTTGAACTTTTTCATTACCACTTTAAAGGCACCGCCCCAAGGATACTCATAAATTTCATTACAAAGTTCCTTGAAACAATCTCTTTTGCTAGTTTTTATAGCATCTTTTAATTTCTTTCGCAATGATTTAAAACTATCCCTTAGTTCATCCGACCTTCTTTGGAATTTTCTTCTAGCTTTATTGCATTGTGACCGTAGCGACGCTATTTCAACCGTCCACCAGTACACGGGTCTCCGGTCGTTTCTGCGGACCTTTCTACTCATAGAAGAATCGCATGCCTTGATAAGACCTTGAGTGAGGGCTTCTGAGAGGATTTCTGCATTCTCCCACATATTCATAACGCTGCTTATTTCGCTAATTACTAATTTAAACATATTTATATCAAAAGATTTTGTGCACCAACTACTTACATCACTTTGGACATTTTGACGCGACACTGTAATTGCAGTTTTTATTTCAATTATTATAGATTAGTGGTCGCTGTGCGTATACCTATCGCTTAGCTTCCACGTGGTTCTTGTTGCCAGCGATTGACTACAGAAAGCTAAGTCAATAATGGAGCCTCCGCCGTTTTTCTCAAACGTGCTTCTGTTGCCTGTATTCAACAGAAGCAGGTCCAGTGAAGCAAATGCTCTTAGCAAGGCATGACCTAGATTATTTGTTCTACTGCTGCCCCATTCCAAAGCCCAAGCATTGAAATCTCCAGCTATTACTTTTGGAGAATACATCGTGGCATCTTGCACAAGTCTGTCTAGTAACAATTCAAATTCCTGCTGACTGAGGCTCGGTGTTGCATAGCAGCTGTAAATATATATCCCGTCGATCTTTGTTTTAACAAAAAACTCATGACTGCTAGGTTTGCCACTAATGCCTTTTTTTCCGCAAACCCATATCGCGGCCTTCTTTTTATGATCAGAGATCCAAGTACCTTGGTTAGGTTTTTTGTACTGTTCACTTAGAATTGCTAAATCAATGCTTTCCTCAGTAATTGTCTGACAGAGCAGCTGCTGGGAAGCTTCGCAGTGGTTTAAGTTTAGCTGCAGCAACTTCATATCTTTGCTCTTGTTTTTAACGCACGCTGAAAGAATGGATACTGCTTGCCACCAGCAATATGGCTTTTATTTATCTGCCCACTTGTTTTACACAGCACGCATGAGGGTACACTGTTGCATTGCTTGGCATTATGGCCTTTCTCGCCGCACTTAAAACAGCAACCACTGCGGTCCTCATTTGTGCAGTCTCTCGCTTGATGACCAAAATCCAGGCATCTGTAACACCTGGTCAGAGTCGTTTTTCACGAATGCGACATACTGACCACCCAATCTTAATTTTCTGAGCTACTATAATCCTTTTCGCAACGAGCTGTGGTAGCGAAAGCGAAGCTATTTGGGTTCCTGAGTATCCGTTACGGAGAGATTTGATCCAGGTTAAGTCGAAGGTTTGAATCGACGTTATTGTTTCAGATATAGCCTTAGCTATATCTTCTTTTGTGGTGATCTCATCTAGATCGTGTATCTCTATCGAGGTTACCTTGGATAGAGCTTTTATTTCCGCTTCATTTCCCAGCAGATTTTGCAC